AATTTGATAACAAAGAAAGTGCCATCAGAGCGGTTGCAAATTACAACTACACCAAACTTAATGGTGAACCAATTATTATTACCTATGCTTCAATCGAATACATGCGTATTATTCATTCTGGTCTTGGTAACATATGTATCAAAGGCCTTGATGAGAACATTGAAGCATCACAACTTCACGAGCTCTTCTCCAACTTCGGTGAAGTTATTTCTTGCAAAGTTCCAATGCAATATGGAAAGAACAGAGGTTTCGCATACATCCAGTTTAAGAATCCAATGATCTAATCATATAATACCCATAAATTAAATATTTATCATTATATCTAAAATTTAATTTCGATCTATTAAACATTGGACTTGCTGGATCATACTATCCTTTTAGATAAAAAATATTATTACATTGAACTAGATCTGTTATTTTAGTCATAAAGATTCAATCGTATATCCTTGATCCTTGATTATGCAATGTTTTATTGTTCTGATACTCGAGTTTTATTTCCTATTCCAATCTAATAAATTTTTTACCTTTATCCATCATTGTGATAATCCTTTCTTCTTCATTCAAATATTCAAATAACTTAGATACCCCCCAACTTATTAATATAATGTCTTTGTATATTCTAAATGGAAAAAAGATTGCGTATTCTTGATAGCATGTACAAAGCCACAGCTCCCCGCCAGGAGCTTGCAGATGCTACTATTAACGGCAAACCAATCTCAATCGAAGCATATGTAAAGAAAGATAACCCGAATAAGCCACAGTACGTCAACAGAAAGAGCGGAATGAATGATGTGTTCACAAACATATTCATCCGTAATCTCCCTGACTCCGTTCGCTCTTTAGCTGACTTGGTAACATTATTCGTCGACTTCGGACCAGTTATCTCTGCCCGTATTATTTTAGACAAAAAGGCCGGATTTTGCAACATGGCAGACCATGATTCCGCTGTCCGCGCCCTTAATGGACTTAACGGCAAGATTCTTTACGGAAATACCCTTATTACATGCAGAGCATTGACCAAAGAGGAGCGCTTGGCTTTCCACCAGAAGAGCGCTTAATTTAAACAAAATGTTATCATCAAGATAAAAATACCCAAAAAATATCGAAAAATACAAAACGATTGTTATTAACAGTGTCCAATTTTGAAATTTATAAACATAATTATTATTTTATTAATGATTTCTCATTTTTATTTTTCAGATATCACAGTAAATCTCATTTCGTATTGATCTTTATAACAATAAAATCCATTATTTCTCATTTTAAACTAAATTAAAGATTATAATCGAAATTTACTTAACTAAAAATATAAAACTAAGCTCTTGGAGCAAGTTTGAAAATCCAAAAGAATAAAATATGCATTTTCGCGAGCAAGCTAAGTCAAAATCTTGATCGGAAATTAAATGAAATTTTCCAAAAATGTCGGCTCTACGCAAACACCATGTATAACCGCCATACACAGTATTACCCATGTTTTTAAAGTAAATTGCATAGCACTTTTGTGGATGACTTATGGTGAAAGTTTCGGATTTATTAAATCCGTTTAATCTATCTGAATTTTGCACTTCATCAATAACTTTCCAATTCTCATTGAAACAAGAAACTTGCCAACTCCTTGCAAAATAGCCAGTTTCATAGTTATCATTAGTGAAAGTGTAATTTGTGAAATATATATATGATCCGAGGAGTTGAATAGTAAAACCTTGATTTGGTTTATTATCTGCACACCATACATTATCAATACTTTGATTAAATATATTTTCGATAACATAGTCAAATCGTAAAACGGAATCTGATTTATAACTAAAGTACTCCGGATATGCTCTTGTGATTCCATCATAGTCTCCATTTATTTTTGGATAAATTATCAAATAATACTGAGTATCAAATCATTTTTGTCACTTTTAAAAATTTTGAATATGAAAATTCACTTCTATAACTGCAGTAAAATCAATGATATTAGCTCACTCTTATTATGATATCATGCAACTAGGCGTAGAGTTTCATTGCCTACAGTCAGGCATCTCCACAGTCTTCAGTGAAAACCTAATTTAAATATTTATCACAATTCAAATTCTTCCAAAATATATACTCATTTTTGAACTTTTTTTTTAACACATCTTGATTTACGCTTGTCTAATTTTGACGATAGTGTGTCGGCAAGAGAAATCAATGTGTTGACTATGTGTCTGCTATACAAAAATTTCAAAATAAAAATAATTTTGTTGAAAAATTGAAATTTCTAAATGAGATTCAATAAAAATTTAACAGCAAAAAGTCATTATAATTAGTCACGATTCATATATTTAAGTTTTAGTGAAAAGTATATGTGTCTGTCAAACCGTCCGACACATTATCAAAATTGAGAGACTTTTTGGTCACTTCCTCGATACACTTCAATCTTCTCAATTAAAATCGACACTCCATCAATCATCATTGACATATCTCAAAAAGTTATGATTTAGAGATATAACGTTTATGCCCAAATTAAAAGTTGAACCGTACTTGGTACGTTAATTTTAATTTCCTCGGCGAAAGCCGAGGCTATGTGCTTCCCTTTTCATCCTCAGTTCTCTCTCATTCAACAGCTTGTTCTCTCTCATCCAACAACTTATTCTCTCATCCAGCAACTTATTCTCTCATTCCTTAGATCTCTCATCCAACAACTTACTCTCTCTCATCCAACAACTTACTCTCTCATTCCTTAGATCTCTCTCTTCCAGCAACTTACTCTCTCATTCCTTAGATCTCTCTCTTCCAGCAACTTACTCTCTCATTCCTTAGATCTCTCATCCAGCAACTTACTCTCTCTCATCCAACAACTAACTCTCTCTCATCCAACAACTTACTATCTCATTCCTTAGATCTCTCTCTTCCAGCAACTTACTCTCTCATTCCTTAGATCTCTCTCTTCCAGCAACTTACTCTCTCATTCCTTAGATCTCTCTCTTCCAGCAACTTACTCTCTCATTCCTTAGATCTCTCTCTTCCAGCAACTTACTCTCTCATTCCTTAGATCTCTCTCTTCCAGCAACTTACTCTCTCATTCCTTAGATCTCTCTCTTCCAGCAACTTACTCTCTCATTCCTTAGATCTCTCTCTTCCAGCAACTTACTCTCTCATTCCTTAGATCTCTCTCTTCCAGCAACTTACTCTCTCATTCCTTAGATCTCTCTCTTCCAACAACTTACTCTCTCATTCCTTAGATCTCTCTCTTCCAGCAACTTACTCTCTCATTCCTTAGATCTCTCTCTTCCAACAACTTACTATCTCATCCCTTAGATCTCTCTCATCAATTGTTATTTATTTTTGTTGTTTCTAAATAAATGAATTGGAACTTTATTATATGATATGTGTTGTTTTGTTTTCAATATTATATTTCATATGCTGCAAAAAAAAATAAGGTTCGACACAATGTCGACCAAAGGTGAAAATCGAGGTTTTTCAACAAGCATATCTTGATTAAAGAGAAAACGACTCAATTGCTAAAGTTGAATGAGTTTCATTATTCTTATGAAAAACAGAGTTAAAAGTTTTTTAAAATTAAAGTTTATTTGCATAGATAAATAAAAATTATAAATGTTACAAGTTACTAAAACAAGAAAATATATATATAAACAAATAAATGTAAAATTAAGCTTCTGTGTTGAATGTTGATCCTGGATGAGTTACATAATAAGTCATCTGCTTTCCTTTTCCTTTAAGGAATGTCTCACCACGTTGAGTGAGTTCGAAGTTCATTCCCTTGACTAAATCGTAAGTAGCCTGAGAAATGTGTACATGATTGATTTCGCAAGTTGTCTGTAATCTTGCAGCGACATTGATTGGATCACCAATGATATCGAAGACAGGTTTATCAGTACCCAAAACACCAGCAATGACTGGACCACCACTGTTGATACCAATTCTTATAGCCAAGTTTGCTTCCAACTTAATGTTGACTTCGTCCAAAGTATTTACGCAATCAATACCGAACAAAATTGTTTGTTCTGCGTGGGATTCAGGTTGTGCGTCAGGGTTGAACAAACCAGTTGCTGCCATGTAGATATCACCTATCAACTTAATCTTTGTGAGCATGTTGTATTTGGCTGCGATCTTATCAATGCAAGCGAAGTAGAAAGACAAGTTTGCCATGATATCTTGTGGACTTAGATTAGATGAATATTCAGAGAACTTGTTGATATCGATGAAAACAATTGTTGCTGAAGGAACAACGAAAGAAATATCTTTCTCACCTCTGTTCAATTGAACAACGATATCTCTTGGAAGGATCTGATAAAGCAACTTTTCTGACTTAGCTTTGGCTTCTTCAGCTTGTTTCTTCTGGTTAACTAAAGCTGTTTGATCTCTTAAAACCAAGACGAAAGAGTTGACATCATCACTTCCTTCCTTCTTCATACCGATGATTGTTACATGGACAGGGATTTCCTGTGATGAATCGGAAACAGCAACGAAATCATCCTCGAAGAAAGAAGAGCTTTGTCCTGACTTCATTTGTTCCAATTTCTGCATGATTGTGTCTCCATCCTTTTGTGTGAAGAACTCTGTAATTCTTTGACCCAAAATCTGTTCAGGAGTGTATCCTAAAAGTGTTGGAACTGCGTTGTTAACAATTTCAACAGTTCCTATCAAAGAAGTGCAGAAAATAGAGTCATTTGCATTCATAATGATTGATCCTTCAATTGTGAGTTTCTCATTCTTGTTTGCGCCTTTTTCTTTGAGGAAAACTTTGTTAAACATCTTGTTGTTTATCAAAGTATATGGTGAGAATCTCTTGATAATGAAAAGAGCTGCTTTATATGCTGAAACTCTTATATTATAATACATTGTAATTATAATCATCCAAGCAATTAAAGAAGCGATTGCTACACCTATTAAAATATAGAAAACAGTGTGAATCTTGTCTTTTTCTATTTGGCCTAGTTCCAATAATCTTTGTGTAACTTTTTCTAGCTTATGGAACATTCTGAAATTAGCCAAATAAAATGCGTTTGAAACATCAGTTACTTGTATTGTTGTGTTATAAGCTACAGAAGTAAGAATTGATTGAACATATGTCTGCAAGATCTGTATCTGCTGATGAATTGAAGCATTTCTATAGACATCTTGTTCATCAGTATCTCCTTCAGGTAACGGAGCATCAATAACATTTAAGTTATCTAATTCTTTATCAAATCCTTTGCATGCAGGAGTTTCATTCACACCATTTACCAAGTAATTATCAACAGTTGTTAATTGATTCAAAAGCAACTTAATGATACCACTAACTAATGTAGTATCTGTCAAGAAGAATTTATTTGGTTCATCATGAATAACAATCAATGTAACTAACATATTCATTAATTCAGCAGATAAACTCAATCTCTTTGAAGCGAATTCATTCCATTTGTTGATATGTAACAATCTTGTGTTACTTCTACTTGTCATTAACCAGCCAATTAAGTTAATTCCTAAGAAAATCAATGAAACAAAACAAGCGCATAACATCAAAACAATTGATTGCATTGAAGAAGCATTCATTTCATTCATTCTTGCATCATCAACACCAGGATTAACAAGGATTGAATCTTTGGCTTCGAGTTTAGCTTTGGAATCGAAACTCTTGATGATTTCAATGAGTTTGTTTAATGATCTAACAGTTAAGAAATGGATGATGAAAACAGGAGCGAAAACAACAACAAAAGTAACAACAGGAATAACAATTTCAAGAAGTTTGAATTTGTCATTCAATGATGTTCCTTTTTTGTTTTGATAAACATCCAATTCATCAAACAAAGCAGTAACACCTGCGAAATATGACTGGAAGTTAACAGTTAATTCGCATGTATCATCAGAGATCAAAGCATCTAAAGTTGTTGTGTGTCCTGAATATTCCCTTTGTGCTGTCGTCAAAAGTGTTATTAAAGATGTCAATGAACCCTTTGTTGCAAATGATGGAGTACTAAATGGATATTTTGTTTTTGCACAAACTTGGAATACATCAATAGGATTCATCAGCTGAGAAGCAATGTTATAAACATCTTCACCTTGGGTTGCCAAATCAACCATCGAAGACATCAACAAATTCAAGTTAGAAAGGGATTGCGTTGTGAAATTAGTAACTTGTGGTAACAAATTTGGTAGGTTAAATATAACATAAGGAATATCATCAGATACATAATATTTTCTAACGGGTATTGCATATTTAATAATACCATTGTCTTCAGTGAAATAAGCAGCAATGATAGCAATGTTAGCACAAGCAGTATAAAATCTGTTCTGTGAACTGTAATTGAGTTGTGACATCAATTTTACTTGTGATTTCATCTTCTGTGATGCGTAAGTAAAACCAACAGCAATGACAATGATTACGTAAATCATAATAAAGATACTTGCTGGATTTACTGCTTTTATTGATTTGGCAACTTTGTTTTCTAATGCTCTGTGTAATGCCAATCTTGTTCTTGACAATTTAATCGCCTGTTTGCCAATGTAATCTTCTAAATCTGCATCTGTCATGTCATCACCAACACTTCCTGATGATTGTTGGCCTGAGTTGTTCGATGAATTGTTTGATTGTGAGCCACTTGCTTTTGTGTTGTTTGCAATGGTTTTAACAACACCGCCTTGAAGATTTAGGATACCATCTGTGATGTATTTAGAGAAAACAGCAACCATGGAACGGAATGAGTAATCAACAACGAAATTAGATCCCATTTCGATAATCTGTTGCTTGTTTTTGATCTTGATGCCTTCTGGGAAGTCACATTCGCATTCTATAAGGTATCTCGAGTACTCTTCGCAGAACTTTGGGTTGTTCGGGGCGTTTTGTAAAGCTTCTTTCCAAATTGCCCTCGCCATCTGGGTTTTGGTGGCCACGCCTTCGAAATAACCTGCAGATAATGGTGAATCAATGGCTGCACGTGTCATGTTCTCGCATTGCCTTGACATTGTCTTCAATTCAATTAATTTGAGTTTTGATGCCGTAGAAACTGAGAATTGTCTCAAAATTTTGATTGCATCGACCTCAAAATTCAAAAATCTCGTGACATATCCGACTTTCCTTCTCTTTAAGAGTAACCTTTGTAACTTATTTTGTAATCTTGTCTCCTTTGGGAAGAAATTGACGAGTTGGAGGCAAGTACTTAAGGAAATTTCATCATCGTAGTGTTCGGCAATGAAGTTTACAAGGTGCCACTGGTAAAATGCAGGACAATAATTTTGGAAAGAAGTTCTGAGATAAAGTTGGGCCTTTGCAACATCTAGATCTAATCCTAACTCTTTGAAGTACTCAAATGCTTCATCTTGTGTCTTAAATTCAAGAGATAATTTGGCAACCATCCTTTTTGTACGAATTGTAAACAAAACTAAGCCTGCTGGTGTAAGGCCAAGGAAGAAACATAATGCGCAAAGTATTGGAACTAAATAGTGAACTCCATCGTAGAAATAACCGATAATTAAGTTTATATCGCCAACTAGACAAGCAATTTGCCAACTTGTAGCGAGAGCCATTGTTTGAATATCAACGAATGGTATAAACTTCTGGTTGTAGTAAATCAAATACGTATATAAGCCAATATGGAAGAATACTGCAAATAATTGAGCCCAAGCTTCGAAAAGAAGGAGCACGAAGTAAGGGATAATTGTAACAAGAAGAATTGCAATAGTTAAACCCATAATGGATGGATCAAAGTTAAGTAATGGAGTGACATTGACAACAATTGACTTTGATGCCAATCCTTGGACGATAATGAATGAATATATTTGATATATAAATGATACCATGAATAAAAGCATTGACAGTATGATGCGCCAATCAAAGTCTTTGTGACATATTCTTAAAAAGGTTTCGCCTGCCAAAACCATAGAAGGAACAAGTGTTGCAACAAGAATTGTATCGAAGTATGCTCTGATTGGATAGTTTAAAATTGAAACAAATTTTCTTTTCATGTTGTAATAAGCAATTTGAAATCTTACTAATACGAAGGATGATAAATTGAAAAATGTAAATACAACTGAAACAATTAAATAGTTCTGTGCTTCATATGGCTTAGGAACAAAGAACAAAACTGTTCGGAGCCAATGAATTACGTTATGATCTTGATGAGTTTCCCAAAACTTGCTCCATGGCCAGATTGATACCAAAAGTGTTTGGAAGAAGAATACAACTAAGAAAGGGTGAAGCATTAAAACTGGTATCTTGACCTGTTGAAATATCTGTAAAAAGAGCGGAAACATTTCATCGATCGAGCTCTTCGAGTCTTCAATATTAATATTCTGATTTGACGAGTCCGCAGAGATAGATTGAGAAACAGCACCGCCTTGATTATTTAAGTCCATATAATTTTGTAAAAGTTCGTTTGATAGAACAATTGAATTGAAAAAATTTTATGAGAGTTTGGGAATATTAAACAACTAGACGAACATAAAACAACGAAGTTATAATGGTATTGCCAGTATACAAATTAAAAATAACGTAATCACATTGAAAATAATATGAGATACTGATAAATAATTATGATAGTACATGCAATCATAAATAATATGGGAAAAATTTATAACAATTTGAAATTGACTTTTGTTTTCTACTGAATTAGACTTTTGAATAAATATAAAACTACTTTGAAAAATATTAAAAAATCTGCATGTGTGCAAATGAGATTATTCACCCTATTGAAATTATTACGGCGGTTTTTCAGAATATGATAAACTATTCAAATTTGAAAATTGGTTCCCCATTAACAAAGTTACATAGTACATAATTTTTAATTAATAAACGGAAAATTCTGCGCTTAATCAAAATAAATGATGATTGATAAAGTATGTGCATTTGTTAACATTAATTTTTTTGCATCATTTTGAATATTTTTATAGTTACTTGATATTGAATTGGAGAATATTGCATTCAATTAATCAATTGATTTTTATTTTCTTATATCCTTTGGCGATTTTAACGTTAATTCGTGTGTATTTTCCCGATCAATTCTCTTAAATTAATTCAATGTTAATTCAGAGCCCAAATTTTTATCACTATTTTTCATTAAATACAATTCCATTTTATATTTGGTATATTATGTTCTCAATTTGATTTTTCTGAACGATCGTACTCTTTCAAAAATTAAATTAATCATAAGAAATAACATATAATTCATATTTTTGTAATAAAATCATTTAAATTTTTATCATTTAAAAAATTGTTTACTTCCGTTCATCCCTCCAAATTGATGTGACGCAATTATTTCATATTTTTCTTTTCTCATTATAACTTTGTAACTTATGGATTCAACTTCTATCGATAGAATTGGAAAGCAATAGCATAATATTATAAAAATGTCATTGATACTTTCATAATACTATTAATTAATATATAATCGTGGATGCACTAAACTTCTCATATTAATATCGATCAAATTATGAATTTCTAAATATAATTATCTCAAAAGCAAATAATCATCAAAATAAGAGCTCAAATATGTGGGAAATCTAAAAATTTGTAGAACCAGCGGAATTATCCTATCTGTTCATCACTGATTAATTCAGTAATCTGGAACAGAATATTTTAGAGCCTATTCTTAATATTATATTGGAGTGCATTTGTAGAGACATATATATTTGTTAATTATTTTTAAATCTAACCTTTATTGAAAATAACTTCGATTGGTTATTGTTGGATTGGAGGGGAAACCGTAAAATTAACTATAAATGCTGGAACCAAAGCATTTTGTATATTCGATCAAGTCTCGATCATAACGATGACTGATTTTTATGATGAAATTTTGCCGATAGTAATTTTGATTTTAGAATATAGTTTAGATACAGATATAATGTCTAAATATTTATTCCAAATATATCTGCAACGCATCTATTTTAAAAAGTTTCGAAAATATTTTAAAAAGAATGTGAAAGCAAGATAACTTACTTGTTGTTATAGATATTACAATGTAAATTTGAATGTAAAAGAGCTGGAATTGTTTTATATATGGTTGCTAAAATATTTTTCTGTAAATAGACGATATATTTGCTGTGTAAGTGTAAAAACTAAAGGGAAATTTCAACACATGATTAAAATGATGTTAAATACTGATGATATTTGAACGCCTTCAATTTTTAAAAGGATAAATTAAAACTCTGTATTCTACTAATTGTAAGTAGTTATATTTTAACTGACTGCACTATATTGGTGCAACTCTTTTTTGAAATATAGCGATTTTTAAACATTATTTGTTTTCGAGATGTTTAATACTTATGTCTGGTTAAAAATACTAACGTGCAATGCGATGAAAATAGACGTGGTAGAGATTTTTAGAAAATTGTAGTTTTTTTTGGAAATCAAGAAAAAATAGTTTAAAAAGAATGTATGCTATCTGTTCTAATAAAGGTAATTATATGCTATCATTGAAGCTCTGTGATATAATCATTCCATAGTGATTTTTTTGAAGCGAAATATGTTCAAAAGTGTCAAAAAAAAAAGAGAAGAATTTGACAATGGCGTAATTTATCCACAAACAAATGGAGATTATAATGGAGTTGCAAGAGATTCATATTCACGAGAGGATTATGTTATTAATAATATATTTAATCCAAGTGTGGAAAACCTATGGTGTGGAGCAAATAAACCAAATCAGGGTTTTACAATTTCACTTCTCAGCTCCTCCATATATTTCACCAATTATAAAGTACTCACAAAATCTAGATTGTGAGACTTTGAATTAACTTTTCAGGGAAAATTTTCAATCTTTTGTAATATTAAGTTATATGTAAAGATGATTATATTAAGAAAAGTAATCAATTTTCTCAAAATTTGAAATGCTTTCAAATTTAATAACATAAACAAATATATAATATCAAGGATATCATACAGAACATTTTTTTCAAAATGTAATATTTTTTTTTAAGATTTTGGAAATGTCATGTTAATGGTTAAAACATGCTTTAATAATGAAATAAATCCTGTTGCTCATATGTAATTCTGTAAAATTTTTTTCTTTTTAAAATTGAATCAATAAATTCCCAGATTGTGGGTTGTTTTTATTATAAATAGTCAAGTTTTCTGCATGCAAAGATTAGTTTATGTTCAGTATTAGAAACTTTTGAATGTTTTTATGATATATTTGAGAAAATTGTCTAAAACAGATTTAATAACGTTTTTAAGATATATCACCAATTGCAGTACAATAAAACAATTTATCAAACTATAATTCAGTAGGTTACAAGCAAATCAAAAAAAAATTATTCCTGAAAAACTTAAATTACTGATGAAATTGTCAACTTATTGAAATATAAATATATTTTTATGTGCTTATTGAATATCTAATAAAATCATAAGTGCACGTTTAGAATAAAAAGATTTGAAGAAGAACATCCCTAATATGACCACACAAACTTAATCAATGTCAGGAATGCCCACAACCATCAGTTCCATAACATATCCGCATCGAAAAATCTGTTACAAGCTGAAATTTATTACAAAATTTCCAATGGCCAGGGATCCAAGCCAAAATTATTGGGACACTGATTATTATTATCATAGCCCGTCTTAGATCTTAGCCAATAAGGAGAGTAATTGCTTATTTTTAACAAGAAATTATTTAAAAATTGGCGTACCGGCTTATTTTTAAGTTGATTCGTAATTACATCTAATACATATTGCAAATATTATAGTCCCAAAAAAGATGCCCATTTGAATGCCTTTCAATTTAAAATGGTTTAATTTTTGGTGAAATGATATTTATTCATGATTATTATAATAGTTAAAGTAAAGTTTTCAATTTTTGAATATTCTTTTTAATGTAAACTATTCAAATAATTGAAGGGGTACTATTTTGAATTGAACATAATCTAAGTAGTGAGGACATTCAATTTTGAGAGAAAGGCTTTTGTAATGCCCCACAATTTTTGATAGCCCCACTACTTAGATTTTGTGACTACCTTACACTAACTAATGGAAGATATGAAACCGGATATTTTGCAAGGAGTTGGCAAGTTTCTTGTTTCAATGAGAATTGGAAAGTTATTGATAATGTACAAAATTCGGAAAGATTAAATGGATATTATAAATCTGAAACGTTTACTATAAGCAATCCCCAAGAATGCTATGCTATTAACTTTAAAAACATGGGAAAGGCTGTTTATGGTGGTTATATATGGTGTTTGTATAAAACAGATATTTTCGGAAAATTTCAAATCATCCACAAATCAGATTATTGCTTGTTTTGTTCGAAGAAATGTATTCCTTATCTGAGTTTGTTTATGCCTACAATTTCTCTCTATATTTTGATATAAAAAATTTTTAAAATATAAAAATGTTTCAATAAGAAACACCTCTACTCTGGATTTGAGATGTGAACGCATAACATCTACGAAGTTGAGTGTGTATCTAACTGAGAAATAATATCTGATTAAAAGTTTATGAGATCTACATTTGAGAGAGGGGTAATATAAATCAGATTGATTCAATAATTTCAATCAATTGATTCATTATAGATATTACATGATAAATCCTAATAATCTGATTTGTATGAAATTTTATATGGAAAATGTATTAATATTCAGCGTACTCTCATTATAAAATCAATGAGTACTGTTGAATTTAGACACTGAAGTTCCGAAATACTCATATTAAAAAACGAATTTTATCAAATTAAATGAAAAAGATAGTCAAATTGAATAAACATCACATGTATAAACAAACTTTATTAAATTGTTAAGAATCTTATTCATCGACAAAGATATGGAGCTTATCAAGTACGTATAACCATCCGATCAAAGCGGGGACACAAAAAACAGTAGAAAAGAAGATCATAGTAGACGAAGCTCCTGGTCCTGTGTTCGCATTATGCGAAAGTAAGAAACTTGCCGTGGCAGAAGGTAAAGAAGCGACAAGAGTGCATTGTCTTGCGAGCAATGGCTTCACTTTGAAGATATAACATGCAAGAGCACCAACGAATGGCATACTTATGTGTCTCATTAGTAACATAAAAATAAATTGAGGCCAAGGACAAGCAACTAATGCAAATTGAGAAAGGAATCCACCAACACAGATTAAGCATAAGCCAAGAACACCATTTGCAGCTAAATTTGCGAAACTCATCAGATAAGTTGGAATTTCCCAGCCTGTAGCGCACCAAATGAAACTTATGATGTTTCCAAACATAATGGGATTCATTATGATGTTCCTTATGATAGTTAGGATAAGTTTGAAAGAAAATTTTTCAATTTGACCATTGTGCTTTTCTTGATGTACTCTATTATGTTCCTGTACCTGGTATATATTCAACATAATGAGGAAAATAGGGATAGCGATGATATCATTTGTTAAATTGATAATTGTAACCATAGAATCGTCCAAACCTGGCCAAATCACGTGGAAGAATGGTAGACCAATGATTAGATAGTTTGTGTAGCATACAGGAAGTGCTGTACTTAAATAATAGTAAAATTTCTTTGTTTTAACGAAAAATACAACTACTGCGCATAAAATGTAGTTACCTATAACTATGCATGCTCCAATAACCATTGGTGTAAAGTTTATATTTCCGAATTTTGACTTTGCGACTGATCGAAAGATTAATAAAGGAAAACACATGGTTAATAAGAATCTGTTAGTAGCAGCGATTGTAGAGAAGGCAATAACTTTCAGTTTAACAAGGAAATATCCTACTGCTATAAGCAGAAGGAGATCTGCTCCGTTAGAAATCACAGGAAGGTAATTCATAATTTTGTTCTCATTTTCAATGTATTTTGAAATATTGAGGAAAAACCTGTTATTTTTTGAAAAGATAACAAAACAGATTTCGCTCTCAATAAAAAAAGATGTAATATTATTATGTGTTTGATAATATTTTTCACTCAAAATGATAAGATCGCACGAAATTTAGAAAACGCGAACTTTAAAATGAAGAAAATGCCAAATTAATAAGCATTCATTAGCCTAGTACATGAGTGCGCTCAATACGATAAGGGGATATCATAAAGAAGCCTTAATATTGGTAAAAAAGGGGTTTGGCGTCCTAAGGCGTCCTAGTGTAAATTTCTCAAAATTGTGATATTTACATCACATTTTTGAGAGGTTTATGGGCGTCCTAAGGGAAAATTGAATAGCTAGGGCGTCCCGAATTTTCATTCTAAGATTTAAATATATTATATACTTAAGTATAATACAAGCAATATAAAAATTAAATTTTTATTATGTTAACTTATAAGAAATTTTTTTGAATTATCGTTGATTTATTGTAATCTTTCCAGGCTATACTTTTGAAATCAACTTTACCTGTCATACGCATTAATGTAGTAGATGTCCAGGTGTAGCTATTATATCCCAGCAACATTGGTATTTTATCATTGTAAGATATCAAAATGAAGCGTTTTTTCAGATATAATTTTTCGTAAATTTTTCAAAAATAAGATGGTAAAAAAGCCTCGACTTGCTCGAAAAATAACAATTTTTTTACTTGTAAAAATAACCCTTTTACAGCATGGGCAGCTATTCAATCACTATTTCTTTTTCTAAAAGTACCCTACGTTCCCAACTTCTGGAAAACGTTTTTTCACCCTTATGATCAGTTTCAGACACTTTGGGAGTCTCCCAAACTTTGATATTTTGCATTATGATAGAGAAACGTGTCTAGTTTAACGCACAGTTGTTTTAAAGGCAAATGATGATATCACATGAAATTATCAAATTATCAAATTTTGAAGTACCAGTCCAAAGGGTTAATTAGATCCTACACAGATGTGCGATAGTGAAACATATGTGTTCTTGATTTGAGAAGTCCTACTGATAGAGGTATGAATCTCACAGCTTTGTGTGAGTGTGTCTGACACTTGTATAGAGTGGAATATGCGCCGACATATATTATATAATAACATGTAGTTGATAATTATGAAAAAATAGAATTCGATGCGAATGATATTGAAAGTTGTTTTGTAATTTGATATTTTTCTTATATGTGTTAATTAGTAAATGGCTTGTTTGTTGTGATAGTACTGTGAAAAATGAAAGGTATTTTAAATTAAAAAATTGAGATTTTGAGATATCTCTAGAATTAAGAATTTATTATGTATTTGACTTTTATATAACTATGTGTAAAGGATCTCGATGTCTATATGCTTTAAATAAAATTAAATAAAATGAGATAAAAAATTAAAATGGACAAGAAGATATATGGAAATGTAATTTGTATTGTGTTGGTTGTTGGCAAAATGATTTTAATACAGATTTAAGGATTTGGAATGGATTTGAAATTAAATGATTTTAATTCAAGGAGTAATAAGATTTTGAACTGGTTTTTATTTTGTGAATGTAAACTCCTTCCATAGGATATGTATTAGAAAGATCAATGTCAAACTTTTTGAAAGAATTGTTTTTTTGTTGAGCGATTTTCTCATATTTAATAATATATTTAAGTTGGCGTATCTTACGCCCTTCCAAAAATATGTATTAGAAAGATAAATTTTAAACTTTTTGAAAGAATTGTTTTTTTGTTGAGCGATTTTCTCATATTTAATAATATATTTAAGTTGGCGTATCTTACGCCCTTCCAAAAATATGTATTAGAAAGATGACTTATAATTTCATAAATTATTTTGTCCCGACGGTTTGAGCGGTTATCAGAATGGTTGCTTACACAATGCGTCAGCAAAATGTCGGTTGGGGTGCCCTTCTTGGCCTCCTGAGTACTCACCAAGATACCCCCAGCTCCCGCAAAACACCTCCCTTAGGTGCGCATTACCTGACGGCATTATTTTGCAATTATTTCAAATTTTTTAGATGTCTTTTGTTAAAGTTTGTTAACTAAAGACTTGAAAACAGCTTACCGCTTCAAGCTGCTCTCTTCCCGGTTCCTCTGCCGCAATCTTCTGTTTGATTGTGCGCAAAGCTCTCCTCCTTGTGAACTTTGCCTGACAGATACACCTGGGAGACAGCATTCGGACATCTTACCGCTTCAAGCTGCTCTCTTCCCGGTTCCTCTGCCGCAATCTTATGTCTGATTGTGCGCAAAGCTCTCCTCCTTGTGAACCATGGCTGATAGAAAGAACTGAAAGACAGGATAGGAGGAACATGCCGGTTCAAGTTAACTTGCAATATGCTTCTGATTAGTGATTTTAGATGAAAGATTAGCGAAATCGCATTTAATTTGGATAGAAGGATTCAATTTTATGAAGCAGGCTCGTAGAAAATATGCAGGAATAGCACAATCTTTTGCAATCACAACGCGATTGCAAAACTTCGACCGACAAGAGTGTATTGTGCACTCTTGTCGGTCTGCATGTCTCATTCCGGGAGACATTGTCACTGCATGTCTCCCAGAATGAGACAATCTTCCGCATTCATAACTTGAATGCGGAAGTTTGACCGACAAGAGTGCACAATACACTCTTGTCGATCTAAATGTATCTTACAATCAAAGACACTTTCATACAATCTTTTCGAAGTTAAAAAAAAATTAATTATTTCTTTCTTTTGTTTATTAAATCGCCTTACTCACGTACTAATCTCTTTTAGAGACTCTATCGAGCTATCCCCACATATAAACCTGTGACAATAATACATATTTACTCTCTTCATATTCTGATCTCATGACACATTATCGCAAAAACTATAATTATACAACACATCTCATAAAGTCTCATTTTAGCCCTATCTAAGCGTTCAAAACCTATTTTCCACACGTAATCTGATTCTTCTGGCTCCGCTGATTCGATTTCTGCTGTCAGATCGTGAAAATATGCATCACATAAAGAGATAAACACAACTCAAAATTATTGCTTTTTTTTCAAATTGTCTATTCATCCATCTTTACATATTTATTATCTCCTCCGTTTCCCCTCACAAATTCTTTTAATTTTCTGAATAATACGTATAATAAAATGAATATCTCAAAAACTAAAACACAAAATTAATGTTGGAAAATGACTAGATATAATCTGAACTTTTGAATTCATACATTTTTGGAAAAAATTGAATTTTCAAAAAAAGAGCTTATTTAGGTATGAACCTGAAGAGAAATTTTAAGGAAAATATTAAGTTGTGCAATTTGCATTTATCTCTTTATGTGATGCATATTTTCACGATCTGACAGCAGAAATCGAATCAGCGGAGCCAGAAGAATCAGATTACGTGTGGAAAATAGGTTTTGAACGCTTAGATAGGGCTAAAATGAGACTTTATGAGATGTGTTGTATAATTATAGTTTTTGCGATAATGTGTCATGAGATCAGAATATGAAGAGAGTAAATATGTATTATTGTCACAGGTTTATATGTGGGGATAGCTCGATAGAGTCTCTAAAAGAGATTAGTACGTGAGTAAGGCGATTTAATAAACAAAAGAAAGAAATAATTAATTTTTTTTTTAACTTCGAAAAGATTGTATGAAAGTGTCTTTGATTGTAAGATACATTTAGATCGACAAGAGTGCACAATACACTCTTGTCGGTCAAACTTCCGCATTCAAGTTATGAATGCGGAAGATTGTCTCATTCTGGGAGACATGCAGTGACAATGTCTCCCGGAATGAGACATGCAGACCGACAAGAGTGCACAATACACTCTTGTCGGTCAAACTTCCTAATACAAAATTTGATTCCCTTATTATCTTCTTAACAAAACTTAAGATTTCAATAATACATCATGAAAACATTCATTTACTACATTCACACTGTTATTCCTTTCTATAAATTAACTCATTTAATAGAATCTTGTTTTTATATCTTATTATTTTCTCATAATACTTCTAATTCCTCTATTTCCTCTTCCACATAAAATTTAATTTTGTAATGCTATCATATACACTTAATGTTTTCAAATTTTCAGATTTAAATTTAATCTTTATTTTCATCATCATTTATAATCTTGTTCCTATATAAAGTTATAATAAATTATCGTCAGATTCTAATATTTATGATTCTTACTACTCAATTCAATATAATTATGTTAGTCACTCATATTCAGGAGAATAATTTAAAAATCTATAGCTCATATTTTGATAGTTATATATTTAGATGATATATATTGCAATTCCGGTTTCAACACGATCAAATGCCAAACCAAGACAAAATATATATGAATTTTCAAAATATCGATTTACATTAGAATCTATATCTAATTTTATCAATACACAAGTAGGGAATGTTCAATACATCTTTGAGCAACGTGAATAGCACAATTTTATAGGATTATTTGTTGATTATATAAAATATAAGCCAAATCGAATCTGCTGTATAGTACTTTAGTTTATCATTGAATGTTAAATGTGTTCAGATAAATATTTGAGTCAGATATCGCATTTTCTAATTTCAAAATTTATCTCATGAAGTTAGAATTTATTTGATCATACAACATCATGTTAGTCAAACTAGAGTTCAATGGCGATTCTAAAATGGAACAAATGCTTGTTTTATCAAAATGTTAAAATATTAATCTAAAAAACTTAATATCTAACCAAACCATTCTAGAATTATTATATACAGGTATAGGCAATCTAAATGCACACGGAATTCGGAAAATTAAAAAGAATATTTATGAGATTATTAAATCTTATGTAATTCAATGAAAAGTAGATAATATGAATATCTATAGGCTATATATCAACATATGAGTTTTTGGTTTGACCAATACTATACTAATGTGATCAAATTAATCTGATTTCTTAGATTTTCATTTGAAGCATTTGCAGTAGTAGGGGTACCTTTATATATTAACATATTAAAAAAT